GGGGAGGGGGTGCGGGGGCTACGGGGCAGGGGGAGACGGAGGGATGGGGGGGTACGGGGCCGGGGGGGTCATGCCCGGGACCCCCCGGTGGCGGGGGGGGCGGCAGCGCCCCGACGGGCTCGTCCTTGGCGGCGGCGGCGGCGGCGGCGGCGGCGCGGGGGGCGGCCGGGGCCCGCCGGGGGGGGCCCAGAGCGGCCGGGGGGCGCCGGGGCCCGGCGGGGGGGGCCCTGAGCGGCCGGGGGCGGCCGGGGCCGCCGCTCTCCGCCATGCGCCGCTCCCAGGGCCGGGCTGGGGCGGGGGCGGGCGGCGGCCCCGCCGCTACCGGGCAGGCGCGAGCGCTCCCGGGCGCCTCCCCGAGCCCCCGGCTCCGGCACCTGCTGGGCTGCCGGTGTCCCCCCCACCCGGTACTCCGCTCCATCCATCCATCCATCCATCCATCCATCCCTCCATCCATCCATCCATCCATCCATCCATCCATCCCTCCGTCCATCCCTCCGTCCATCCCTCCGTCCATCCCGCTGCTCCCCGCACTCCTAAATCCCCTCCCTCCCCTTCCCGGGGCAGCAACGCCGGGTCGGGGGGACCCTCTGGGTGGGGGGGGAGGCCTGGGGGCTGTTTTGGGGTTTTTCGGGGGGTCTTGCGGGGCTCAGGGCACGCTCATCCGCCCCTTTTCTGGCATTTTTAGCAGCGGCGCAGCATCCCTGCGCATCCCGTTACCACGGCAACAGCGGGGACGGCGCTGGGACCAGCCGTGGACTCCCCCCCCGCCCGTGTCACGCTCGTCACTCCCGTGTCACCCTCGTGGAGCCGGGCCAGGTGCCACGGCCACTGGTGTCCCCCGCGGCTGCGTGTCACGGCCCGGGAGGGACACGGGGCTCCGGGGCACGGCGGGACCCTCGCCCCCCTGTGCCCCCCCCGGAGGTCGGGCGGGGGTCCCGGCCCTGCGGGATCCTCTGTGCCCCCCAGAGGGTCGCGTGGGTCCCCGGGACACGGCACCTCGCCGGAGGTGTCCCTGCTGCCACCCCCAGGGCTGTGACCGTCCCGGAGCTGCCCCTGTCCCGGCCTGGCGGGGGATCAGCTCTCGGCACCCCGTGGGGACGGTGCTGCCCCTCCAGTGCCCCCTTGTCCCCTCCAGTGCCCCCTTGTCCCCTCCAGTGCCCCCTTGTCCCCTCCAGTGTCCCCCGCTTTCCCCAAGCAAGGGGCCGCGCCTCCCCATGGCTCTGAGGTGGGGTGGAGGGAACGACACGGGGCCACGGTGGGTCCGACCGTGCCACCAGAACATCCGTGTGCCTGTCTGTGTCCCCCTCCCTGTCCCTTCCTGTCCCCATCCCTGTCTCTGTCCCCGTCCCCTGTCCCCATCCCTGTCCCCCTTCCTGTCCCCTCCTGTCCT